AGAAAGGTTATACAGAGCAGGGTTTACATTGAATAAATTGCTTTGGCTGCAGGCACAGGTCCCCTCCATGTACCAACAGTTTACGGAGTTTACCTCTGTTCACTATTCCTCTCCTCCCACCTACCTCTTTTGTCCATTGCCTGTCCTGTTACCTGTGTTAGCATGTGGAGACCTGGTGTGGTTGCTGTAGGTTAATGCCCTGGACTGCAAAGGTCAGTGGTTCAAGCTCACCGGCTGCTCCTAGGAAACCCTATACATGGAGCTGCTCCTAGGGGACCCTATGCATGAGTCGGAACCAACAGCACTAAACGCTCTTTTAAGTGTCAAGTGGTAAATTCCAACCCATGGCGACCCACTACAGGGTTTTCAAGCAGCAACTGGTGAGTTTGAACTTCTGACCTTGCCCTCTTGTGCTTATCCTACAGTACCACGCCCAGTCTACCCTCTATCTAGCACATGAATAACTTTCCCTTCTCCCCCCCCCATTTCTCCCATAATCATCATAGATTGTTTCCTTCTATCAAAAAAATCTTTTAGCTCTTCTACAACACTGGTCTTACAAAATTTGTACTTTTGTGATTGATTTCAGAGTTCCTCATTCAACATTTTGTAGGATTTCATTGAATGTACGTACCAAAGTCTGAAGAATGCTGTTTTCTTATCCATCTTGCTCTGTTAACTGGTACATTTAATCATTTGCCTTCAATGTAATTAGCAATCGGTTTGAATTGGATTGGTCATTCTTTATGATATTGCTGGGTTCTATAGTTTCTATCTATCCTGAGTTCATTGTTGTTGTTGTTAAGTGCCGTGGAGTCGGTTCCGACCCATAGCGACCCTGTACAGGGTTTCCAAGGGTGTAAATCTTTACGGGAGTAGAAAGACTCATCTTTCTCCCGCGGAGCGGCTGGTAGTTTCGAACCACTGACCTTAAGGTTCGCAGCCCAATTCGTAACCACTACGCTACCAGAGCTCCATATCCTGAGTTCATTAATGTATACTAAATTTTGATGTACGTGTATATTTCTTTGAGGTTACCCTGTAATTTACCTATTTAAGTCTGTTTTGTCTTTTATCTATTTCTGTATCCACTATGCCCTGTTTTTTTCCTTTAGTTGACTTCCTCTTAAACCTATGTCTCTGGTTCCCTGTTTTCAGTCTTTGTACGTTTTTTGTTTTTTTTTTACTTTTATATCTGCTTTAATTTCTGGGTGGTGTCATATATGGTAATCTCAGATTGTCTGCTGTTGGGTCTCAGCCCAAAGAAAACTGTTAGCATTTTTTTCCCTTAAATCAGGAATGATCGTTGATGGGCAATCTGTTGCCATCTTGCCTGCATGGTTTCTGCTGAGAAACCAGAGGTTAGTCTTAACTGGTTCTCCTTCATAGGTAACTTTCCATTTTTCCAAGGCTTTCTCAAGATTCTGTCCTGGTCTAAGATTCAGAAAGTTTGATTATGAGGTCTTGGTGACTTCTCCCCCACCCCCCATGTATCCTGTTTAGGGTTCAATTCAGCTTCGTGTCTGCTTGTCTGCACCTCATAATGTTAAGGGCAGTTTTCTTCCCCACAAATTTGACAATTTTCTTTGCTTCTCTTCTCTGCTCTGGAATCCAGTCACCCGAAAGTTCTTCGTGGTGTCCCACATAACTCTTGGATTGTCTTTAAGATTGTGTTCATCTGAGAGCTGGATTGTCAAGCTCATTAATTTGGGCTTCCTTTGCAGCCCATCTGCTCCTTTTCAATATACTGCCCGTTTCTGAGATTTTAGCATTAATCTTCTAGATTTCTAATCCCAGCCCGTTTCTGAGATTTTAGCATTAATCTTCTAGATTACTAATCCCAGCTTTTGTTGTGTTCCAAAATTTGGGTTTAGTCTTATTTGTTGTACTATAAAGTTTTGATTGTGTTCTGTTTTCTGCAGCCTTTCATATTATCAGGTTTTTGAAGGTACCTGTTAATCATTTGAGGTCTTAGTTCACTTTGTTTCCTTACCGCTTTTTTTTTCTGAAACATAAGGCCCCCTCGGCATCTTGGTCATTTGTTTAAGACATTTCTTTGGTTTTCTTGGTGTGAGCTAAAACAGTGTAGTTGTTTGACTCTGAGGAGAGAAATCTCGGGGTGGCTCCTGCAATTCAAGGAGCTCGGATGGTTGTAGAAAGAGGGGTGTAACAGTGGAGTTGCCGGCCCTAGAATGCCGGCTCTAGAATGTTGGCTCGATGTTACCTGACTGCCCTGAACCTAATCTAGAAGTTTGTGGGGACCCTCAATGGAGCTGCTGGAATCCGTGTTGGTTAGAACCACAGGAAGCTCAAGGCAGTGTGTCTGGTGAAATGGTGAGCTGGTGGCGCTGTGGGGTTTATAGGTCAGCTGGCCCCCCCCATCTCACTGGTGTAACTCCTAGCTCCTTGAGAAGAGCAGGGTTTGGGCTGGGTGTGGTGGGTTGAGGGGGAAAAAGACCTGCATGGGGAAAAAGACCTCATTGCACCTTTTCCTCCATCCACGGGAATCTGCTTTGCCAGCCATCCCTCTGCTACCAAAGCTGTCCATGCGATGGTGGGATTCACCGGTCAGTCTCCCTCTTGCCACCCCTGCTCGGCTTCTCCCAGCAAGCACCCCATCCACCTCTCTCACCTTTCTTAAGTTCAGGATGCCAGAATTTTCACATGTTTTATTGTGTGGCTCTTCTGTAACAACGGGGAGAATGGCACAGGATTGGCAGTGCTTGGTTCTGTTGGATTTACAGGGTCGCTGTGATGGCAAATAACAACCACCTTCCACAACCATAATGTTCAGACACAAGTGTTTGCTGTTTTCAGTTCTTAAAAAGCTTCATTTGAAACAGGATTCCAATTGTGCAAGAAAATCTTATATGAAAATTGGGTGCTAGGAGTAGGTCTTTCCTCCTTGTATCCACAGCTGATATTTCTAGGCCAGCTCTTTAAAATTAGACACTTGATGTGCATGCATATAAAGCAGTTTGAAAGAGTGGTTAACTGTTATAGTCTTGACGGGAGTCTCAAATCCTTGCTGAGCTTTAAATGCTCCTTCAGCCTTGATGCTGACTAACCATATAGCCTTTGTGATGTCTGGCATGTGCCGGATTTCAGTCTACTTGCCAGAGGATCTTTCTGCTCTGCTCAAATAGAGGCCCAATTGTTATGTGCCATGGAGTCCCTTCTGATTTATAGCCACCCTGTACATGGTGTCCGAGGCTATAAATCTTTGCAGGAGCAGAAAGCCTCCTCTTTCTTTCACAAAACAGCTGGTAGATTTGAACTGCTGACCTTGAGGTTCACAGCCCAATTCGTAACTACTACGCTACCAGAGCTCCTTAGAGGCCCAATGTCACTTTTGATAAATCTTTACAGTTATTAGACCCTGAGAAAGACATTGAGAAATATAACCGGCTTATTTGAGAAACTTGTTTTAGGACTATACTGTGATTAAAATGAACAGTACATTTTAAATTATGTGCCCTTAACCAATGATGGAAGAAAGACGCTAGTGGTGTAGTAGGTAAAGCATTGGACTGCAAGGTTGATGGTTCAAACCCACCAACTCTCTCCAGGACTAAGATGAGGCTATCTGTCATTATCTAGATTTATGAGGTCATTATCAAGATTTACAGCCTCAGAAACACTACTGGAATGGTTTTACTGTCCTATAAGGTTACTGTTACTCAGAATCAACTTACCAGTGGATTGGGTTTGGTGACATTGAGCCCCCAGGGCCCCCTCTGAAAGATAAGAAATACCAGGGAGACTAAAAACTAGGGGAAATTGGGCTGCTAACCACAAGGTCAGGGGTTCAAAGCCACCAGCCACTCACCAGAAGAAAAGGCAATCTGTTTCTGTAAATCTTACAGCCTCAAAAACCCTATTGGGATAGATCTGCCTTGGCCTACAGGGTCATTTAATGTACAGGGGTAGACTTATTTTTTTTAATCAACTAGGTAATCCACATACGTTTTCCATCTAGCCTTGCAAAGTCCCCACTCCTAACTTAATCCTGATTGTCTTCCACCCAATTACGATTTTGTAACTTAATTCCTGTTTCAGCTGTAAAAAGCCTCGTTCATTGCCCAGCAAAATGGCTGTGAACTGAGACATTTTCTCCCGTCTAAATCCATCTATATCCCTCAACAAGCTTTCCTTACTTTAAGCAGGAGGTTGTGATGTTACTACTCTTGGAAAAATTTGTCTATTTGTGTTGATATGACTTGTGATTAGAATTGGTTTACCAAGCTCTATTAAACACTGAATTTTTCCTGGACTCTCACCTGAATGATAGTCATCTAGAACAGTATTATAAAGTTGTTAAATTCCGTTGGTGCTGATGTGAGCTACTCTATTCAGTTTCCACAGAACAGCTGATGGCTTTCAGCTGCCAACCTTGTGATTCAAACTGACCCTCAGGTCCAGTGCGTTATTCTTCCTACGCCATACCAGACGCCGTTAGCACTGGCTAGCAATTGAAAGATTGGCAGTTCTTATCCACCCTGGGCCACTTCAAAAGACACATCCTGGGTGAACACTAAATCTTTACGGGAGCAGAAAGCCTCATCTTAATACCGCGGAACAGCTGACCTTATGGTTCACAGCCTGATTCGTAAGCTACCAATAGCTTCTTGTGTTTGCTGGTAGACTTCCCTATTCTGGCAGATAATGCAACCTGTGTATTGATTTGCCAACTAATTTTCTATGCATTGGTTCAATATCTTCTACATGTAGAATTTCATAGTATTAGGCAACTTTCTCAAGTTTTTCTTTATTAACATAAGAAATATAGGAGGTATAGTATATTTAATCCTTTCACTTGTTTGCCATTTGATCCCGTATAGATCATGAGACTTCAAAAAGTTTGGAGAAATTCCATTTTTTCTATGAGCTTTCTGAAGCTCCCCCACCCCCAATAGTCCTTTAAACTATTTCGTTTTCATACTTCACAGACCTTAATCCTTTAATATTGATTCCCTAAGACCTCCTTGGCGCAGGACAAGATGGAGCATCATCCACGGGTTGGTTTCAACCTGCAGCCTCTTCTGGAAGAGCTGAACGCGGAGGAGTTGAGTCAGTTCAAATCTCTACTGAAGTCCCTTCCTCAGGAAAGTATAGTTCACCAGCAAGAGTTCCCCAAGACTGAGATCGATGATGCCAACGGGAAGCAACTGGCAGAAATTCTCAACGGCTGCCGCAAGTACTGGGCGGAAATGGTGACCGTCCAGATTCTTGACAAAATGAACCGCGTCGATCTGTCTAAGAGAGCCATGGATGAAATCCAAGGTGAGGAGAAAATGGCCCACGTGGTGGGTTGGGGGAAGAATAGTGGTCTCCTGGGTTTTAGAAATGGCAAGAATAACCTTGGGCTTTGGAGAAGCTACCTATTTCCAAACAAATGCTACTGTTAATGTTTTTGGTGGCCCAGGAGTAGATTCCGACTCGGGAGAAGGCCTGCTTGCTTATACAGAGTAAAACTAGCCTCTAGGCTTTGGGTGACTAGCTTTTTCAAGACGATTCACCAGAACTTTATTACATGCTACCACTGGGTGAGTTCAAAGCCTGCCATCTGTTAATTGTGCAAACTGTTTGTGCTACCCAGAGACCTTGAGAGATGCCAGGCCTTCATCAAATGTGTCTGCGTCTTGAGTGTGAGGTTGTACCTCCTTTTGCTTCCAGGTGCCTTTGAATTGAATTGAATCTGAAGGCTGTTGGCCTCTAGAGGACTCCAGCCAGGTGGAGCTTTGTTCCTTCTTGAACGAAGGCTTCAGTGTGTGAGATGCCGATTTTTCTTGACTGCCCCCTGCACCTCTAATGGCTGAACGGCCAGTGTTAGAAGCAGAGTCTATTTAGAAGTAGGTTGTGGCCACTTCTAACTGGCCCTCCAGGACACGCCCCTTACTGGTCGGTCACCTGCTTGTCATATCCCAAGCACCTTCTAGTCATAAGCTTTCCCTATTTGCAGTACTCCCTCTCTGCTGGAATTCCATACACCTGGTACCCGTCATGTGTGGGAGGAGATTCTAGATCTTTCCAAAGCTCACAGAGAGAGAACTTTGAGAAGAAACTCATGAGACTCCCTCACCTGGCTGATCCCTTTTGTGGTGTTGGCTTTTGCTCCTGTATAAGACTTCATGTGTCTATAGGATTTCAACATCAATATATAGATAGAATCCTGGCACGGAGCTGTAAGCTAAGCGCTAGACTGCTGTGAGTTGGAACCGACTAGTCCACACTTAACAGCAACTACACACCTTCGGTACCGTCAGATCTGACTCATAGTGAACCCCATAACCAGGTAGAATTCCTTAGGGTTTCTGAAACTGTAAATCTCGCCTGCAGCGGCTAGTGCTGTGAATTGCCTTGCTTTCAGTTAGTGGCCAAATGCTTAACCCGGTGTTACACCACCAGGGCTCCTGATCAGCAGGGCCCTAAGGCGGCGCATTCACTCCAGGATATTTCAAACTGCTCGGCTCCCTCAGTCCCCCTAGTGCCTCTGTACCACCAATACCACAAGTGGGTGGTTTTAAAGAACAAATGGTCTCTCAGGTTTTGAGGCTAAAAGTCCGAGTACGGGTATTGGCAGTTATGATGATGTTGTCAGTAACTCTGGGTACGCCTTGGTTCCATGGTTTCTAGACAGACGACCCCTACTTGGCATCTATCTTCATGTGTTTGCACTCTGGTCTGCTAGAACTCGTTAAGGATGTACCCTAAACAAGTGGTTTTATCTAGAGTTGGCTTATAGCTGAAACAGCACATACTGGGTTCATGTGACAGATGGCAGTCAGCTTCTCAGTTTAGGGGTTCAGGATGCCAGCTCCAGGGGAAAGCTTCGTCTCTATAGGCCCCGGAGGAGGTCCCTGTCTCCAGAGCGTCTGCCGCTGTCTTCCTCATGTTTACTACTTGCTAGCTTGAATTTTTTTATCCTCTGAGGAGATTGTTTGCCACCTGTTCCTCGGGAACCTTACACAGCTATGATTCCACAGCACTTTCGTCTATTTGTTAACATAACAAACTCCTTCTCAAGTGAAATTCTAAGTGCTATACAGTCGGTTGGGCTCTTTCTTGTAGGGTTTTGAACCACGAACCTTAAGGTTCAGACCAACCTTTGCAGTTACAGTGCAAACCCCACAGTGCCACACCCGGATTCCTAACATAGGTATAGGAGTTCAGATTTACAACATAATGCCAGGGCACTTCAAAAAATCTATTCTCCCTATTTCTCATAAACTCTTTGAAGCACTTTCCTCGTATTCTAGGGGATATAATTCAGCTCATAACAGCGATTGGTGTATGACCTTATTATCAAAACTCAAATCCCTCTTTCCAGAGCTCACAGCTGCAAACATGGAGTGAGTCATGGCTTCAATATTAGTTTTTGGGGATCCAACTCCAATAACTGGATCCATAATACTAAGCTATCTTTTCTCTTGAAAACACATGCCAATAGTATTCCCACTTGGATCAGGGTTCCTAGCTAAACAGATTACTGTCTTTTGTGGACCCCCAAGGGTGTTTTCCAACTCTACCTGGCCTCTGGAGATTACAAACTTGAACTTGAAAAGTGCTATCCAACCCATAGTGACCCTCTAGAGGGTTTCCAAGGAGTGACTGGTGAGCTTGAACCACCAACCTTGCAGTTCAAACTGACTTTGCCGTCTAGCGCATTAGCCCACAGTGCCACACCAGGACTCCTACGAACATGAAAATAGAAATCTCTGAAACCCAAGAGTTCGCTGTTTAACAGGATTTGCTTCTGAAAGAGAATTCTCCTTTTTCAGAATCTGCTGTGAAATCACTTCGTGAAATAAAGGCCTCTATGGTAGGTAAGTCGTCTTGTGCAATTGTTTGAGATTCTGAAACTTTGGTGACTTACTTGAGTCCTACTGAGCATTAAGACTATTAAGGAATGCAGGAAGTATAGGAAGGACTTAACTGTCCTGCTGGCTATAATAACATGATGTGAAAAGCTCAAAATAAAGGCAGTTCTGCATTTGGGAAAGAATGAGCCTTCCCTTTGAATTAGATTAAATTGGGTAATATGCTTGGCTAACTGGTGGTTGGCGTCCGAGTCCACACAGACTTCAGAAGAAAGGTATGATCTATTTCTCAAAAATTGGCTGCTGAAGGTGATCTCCGTCTCCGTTCTCTAGAGCTGCCGTAACAGGTACGAGTGGGGTAGGGTAGCTCAACAGGAAGTCTGACTTCAGGGTACCTGCTATCGGGGGAGGTTTCCTGTCACCTCTGGAGGTGGGTCCTTGTGCTTCCTGAGCTCCTAGGTGTGACAGTCATGTGACTTGATAGTCATGTGACTTGGCATCTCTGCTGCTCACTTGTGTTTTCTCTTGACCCGGTCTCCTTACGTAGCCCTGACGGCTTAGTCCCAAATGGGATTCCAACCACAACAAGCTACCGTGCGGATTTTTAAGACCTAACTCAACCCGTAATGAGTGCTATAAGATGAAATTCTACTCACATAAGGTCGCCAAGAGTCCTGGCCTTTCTGGCTTGGATTTTGTTGTAAAGCTGACTGTCACATGGTCAATCACATGTGCAGAGCATATAGAATTCAAAACTTCCAATACTGACCTAGAAGCAGATCCCACCATACAAGTCTCTTGAGGGAAGTACCTCAGGGTGGTTTCAAACTGCCGACCTTTAGGCTAGTTAAGTACTGTTGATCTATCTAGGGTTCCCAAGGGGGCCCGTTGACTCACCAGTTCATTTTTCCCAAAGTTGCTTTTGAGATCTTTGTTCATGTTGCTGTGTTCCTTCCTAACCTGGCTTTGAGGGGGGAAGTGATCTAATCTAGTACTGCATTATTTTCATATCATCTAGACTAGAGACCCGCGTGATTGAGCGTGGAGCCATTTTTAAAGTCCCACCATTTCCCAGAATTCTCAGTTGTGTCATTGTAACAAGCCCATAAATTTTTTGTTTTTCCCTTTCTCCAGAAATGATGCCAACTCCAGAACCAAAAAAGTCAAACTTGGAAGACCTAGAAGAAATGCTAAAAGCAGTTCCAGGTTGGTCTTCGGCCTCAAATAAATGCTGAGTATGCTTAAAGGGGATGCGGGGGTTTCAGGGGGAAGCAGGCCTCTGCTGCCCTTTCCCACTCCTGGGAATTCGTCTCTCAGATCTCATTTTACTGGAGAATGCTCACTACCCACAAGAACCGAAATGGAAGGGAAGGTGGACTTCGGAGTAGATCGGGTGTTCGGCTCTCAGCAAAAGATACGTGTGTGTAGGGCATTCCTCTCAGATTGTAGAGGCTGTTTTTGCTAAATAGCCGAGATAACACAGACATACACAACTAGCCTAAATTCACTTAGTGATCAATCTTTGGATTCTTGGAGGTGTAGTTACCACTGAGTCGGCTCTGACCTTGTAACAAATGTTGCCAGTCTTGTGCTATCTTCCTAAAAGCTGGTACGTTGGAGCACATGCTAGTTAGAACAAGGTAGGCAAGCCCAAATCTCTTTTCCTTCTAAAGAACATTCATTGCATGGTGCAGTTGATCTTTCTGATAGTCTGACAGCTATTGTTTCATTGACGTATACTTAAATACTATCAACTTTGACAGTAAATATACAATTTTTAGTAAGTTTGCATTGAAGTAGCTCTCCAGTACTCTCCGATTATTTTTTTTTTTTTTTTTTTTTTTTACAATCGGCCCTTCACTCCCACGATCCCTATGGTGATTTCTGTGTAGGCTGCCACCTGGAGGTGACCACTTAATCTACTTGGTGATTGGATTTGTCTTTTATGGACGAGTGGCCCTTTGGGGCTGAATGCTGGTCTCACCTGCGCCATTGTGACCATCATATTAGTCCTTTTATTTCTGAGTGGCGCTGGTTTTAAACCACACTCTGGTTATCCATTCGCCACTTAGATTTTTTTTTTTTTTTTTTTCTTTCCGTACTTTCTTGACTTATAAACGTACTCCTACGTTTTTCTTGGGAGATAACTAATTAAGACTAATAGTGACTCTGTATATGGTTTGAACTGCAAAGTCAGTGGTTCAAGCTCACCAGCCGCTCCTCGAAAACCCTATACAGGATCGTTATGGGTCAGAACTGACTCAATGGCACATAACTACATACTGTTTCCACCCAATGGCTGGTGAGTGAATCACTGGTCATGGAGGTTCACACTGACCTTGTGGTCCAGTGCTTGTACCATACACCTGGACTCCTTGGGTGGCGGGGTGGATACCTACCTGAGTTGTCATCCGACTTGACCACAGCAGGCTCTGTTGGAATTGCTACTCAGGATATGAGTAAAGATTTGAGACCATCCTATTCTCCTGATAAAACTTTCTCCAGCTCAGTGGAGAAAAAATAAACTATTTACTATAAGTAGTATAGGAGTCCTGGTGTGGTGCTGTGGGTTAATGCACCAGACTGCATCACCACTTGATAACCGCAAGGTCGGCGGTTCAAAGCTGCCCATCACCGGCTTCTCAGAAACTATACAGGGTCGCTAAAAACAACGCATGTAGTATAGAGTTTTGTTGTCTACTGATAAATCTTAAATTGCATTGACAAACGTACACCAGTTCAGCACGTCCTGCAGGTATAAGAATTCAGTGCGATGAGTTACATTCTTTAATATTTACCCAAGTGGTTTCCCCTCTCCCCAATTAATATAAAATCTGCTGTCCCTTAAACCTCCTCTGGACCCTTCCCACACACATAGATCTTAATGCAAAGTAATGCTGAAGGCCAATTACCTTGGTTTGAAAAAATTTCTTGAGACGGCAGTTTTTGTTTTAAGCTTAAAGATCTCAGCAGTAATTTCAAGGGTTCCTCCAAGACCCACACTGTAAACAGTTAGGAGAATTTCGATTTTTTTTTTTTTTGCTGTGCATTTTTTTCCCCTTTCAAGATTTCTTATGTGGAATCTTAGATGTTGGTCTTAGCATTTGGAAACAATAGCTAGGCACAATCTAGTTTTTCGGGTCTCGTGATAAAATGAGGCAGTTGTTCATGAAGGCAGCGAACTACACGTTCCATCTCCTTTTATTCTCAACTGTTGCCTCAGGTGTGAATTGAGACCACTTGCTGCTCCTTAGATGGCCATTTAGAAGCCTTTAGAAGAGCACACACACCCCACCCCACCCCCTACATAATAACATTGAGTTTTGGTTTTAAAACTTATTTCATAATTTTGGAGAATAAAAGTCCAGAATCTGTTAGAGCCAATTGTCCTGAAGGATCTAAGGAAGAATTCTTTTCTTGGCTTTTTCCAGTTTCTTAATGGCCCAGGCATACCTTGGCTTAGAAAGACCTGAACATTCTTCAGGATTTAACAACACATCTATTAAAAAAGCAGCTGTAATGTAATATGTTGAGTTTTGTCTATTTCCTATGACTCTGCAAGCAAGTCCCTTGTTTTAAGTGGTCATGAGTCCTATTGCTCACATGTCCACAAACAGACATTGTACCTTCTAGCCACACAATATGGGTAGAGTATTTGGATTACGCCCTGAACTTCTTAGAGCCTGTTTGTATCATGTTTCTGTGACAGGAAGCATAACTTTATTTTCTGCCAAGTCTAACTCTAGTCTTTGTTTGTTTCGGTTTATAGATTTTAAGGTAGAAGATGCCACCAACCTAGAAACCTCCCACTATATGATACTAAAAAAACCAAATCCCGGTCAGTATCATTTCTTCCTGGGCTGAGTTTTGTAATTTGTATAAGCCTTTATTTATTATACCTTTTACTACCTTAAGCACTTTCCTAATGAGTAAGAAACTATCCCTTGTCTGTCCCCCTACCTTATGTCACAGATGTTACAACAAATCACTTTAGAACTGAATTGAAGACCAAATTTGATCAAATCTGGAAGAACAACTTCTGCCCTGAAGCCACTGGAAACTTTCCTATTGTCACCGAGAGATACAAGGCATTGATCCCATTCTGCAATCCTCAAATACTTACGGGGCCACTCACCCACACCGTGGTGCTGCACGGGGCTGCTGGTGTTGGGAAAAGTACGCTGGCCAAGAAGTTGATGACCGAATGGACAGATGGCAACCTCGCCAGGAGATTCCAATTTGTTTTCTATCTCAACTGCAAGCAACTCAACCAGATGGGGCCATGCAGTTGTGCTGAGCTAATTGCCAAGGACTGTCCTGAGTTGGACGACGCCTCTCTGGAGGTGATCGCCAAGTCACAGAACGTCCTGGTCGTCATTGATGATTTTGATGAGCTGAGTTACTCCCCTGGAGCGCTGATCCGTGATATATGTGATGACTTGAAGACACAGAAGCCGGTACCCATCCTCTTGAGCAGTTTGCTAACGAAGAAAATCTTGCCCAGAGCAACAGTCCTGATCACCACTCGATCCTGGGCGCTGAGGGAACTCCGGCTCTTGATGGGAGAGCCACTCGTCATCATAAAAATTGAAGGCTTCTCAGAAACGGACAGGAAGGACTATTTCTTGAAAAACTTCGAAGATGAATATGAAGCCATGAAAGCCTTTGACTTGATAAAGAGCCATACAGCTTTGTTCCCCATGTGCTCGGCACCCATAATGTGCTGGCTCGTCTGTAAGTGTCTGAAGCTGCAGATGGAGAAACGGGAGGACCCCACTGCCACGTGTCAAACCACCACATCTCTATTCCTGCATGTCCTGTGCAATCAGTTCTCGCGGGTACCTGGCGCCTGCCCCAGTCGGAGCTTCCAAGCCCCGTTGAAGGTTCTGTGTCTCCTGGCAGCTAGGGGTGTGTGGAAACACACATCTTTATTTGCAGGGGAGGATGTCAACTGCCTTGGTGTGAAGGAATCCGAGATTAGCCCTTTCCTAGGAAATATCATTCAGAAGGACAAAGACAACGAAAACTACTACTCCTTTGTCCATCTCAACATCCAGCAGTTTCTAGCCGCCATATTTTACATTCTAGGGAGTGAGGAGGAAGACCAGGAAAACCACAGGAAGGACATTGGGGATATACAAAAGCTGTTCACCACTGAAGAAATACTGAAGAACCCCAACCTGACCCAGTTAGGATACTTCATATTTGGCCTCTTGAGCAAAAACAGTGCCAAGGAGCTGGAGACAAAGTTTGGCTACCGAGTGTCAAGCGGGGTCAAAGAGGAATTGCTGACATGGAAAGTGAAGCCCATCAAGTCCAAACCCTTCTTGTGGTCGGCCATGAAGGACACTTTCCGCTGCCTCTATGAATCTCAGGAGGAGGAATTTGTGAGGGACGCCATGGCCCCTTTCACCGAACTGTCTCTCCACCTGAGAGATGAAATCGACATGACACATGCAGCTTTCTGTCTCAAGGGTTGTCACAATCTGCAGAAGCTTTCGCTGAAGGTAACAAAGGAGATGTTTGTGCAGCATAAATCCTTGAAATCACAGCCTGAGAGGTAAGGGGGACTCGTTTTTCACTCTGGTTTTGCTGGTCTTCGGCCTCCTCCCATGGTCCATTGCAACGAGGCCAGACTCTTCATTCCTTGTTTGTTGCTGTTGAGTGTGTTCCGACTTGTGGGCAGAGACGAGCCTGTCCAGTGGGGGTTCGAGGCTCTTCAGAAGCAGATCCCCGGGTCTTTGTTCCGAGGCACCTCTGGGTGAATTTCCAACTGACAACCTGATTGTTCCAGCACTTAACTAGTTGAACAACTCAAGACCACACTCTCCTGCTTTTCTCTTAAGTGCCCACCTGGTTTTGCAGTTGGTTCCGATTCCCTAGCAAGCCGCTAATCGTTTTCCTAGGAACCAGTAGTGGATTTGAACTGCAGACCTTCAGTTAGCAGTCCAGTGCTTATCCTACGGAGCTGTTGTTCCTCTTCTGTTAATAGCATTCAAGATGAGGAGCATGACAGGATTATGAATTGGGACCTCTTTACTCCATTCCCACTTTAGTAAGCATCATTTATCACCGATTTAACATTTTTCACATACGTAACTTGAGATCATTTGCATCACTGATTATGTAAGCATTAACCAGTGTCCTTTGTCAAATCTCATCTCCATAAACAAAATCTATAAGTTTCTTATTTTTTACCCTATGTCCCTTTTTCTCCAACCACTCGTAACCCCTATTGAACTGATTTATATTTTCTTACATCTCTGGGTAGCACTCTGGGATAACTCGCTGGACTGTAAGGTCCATTTGAACCATAAGGTTAAGTTGGTGGTTTCAAATTCACCAGCTACTCTTGGGGAAACTCTGTACAGGATCACTGAGTCAGAACTGATTCCAAGGCACTTAATATGCACATCATGTTTATTATGATCACGTAGTATTCATCCTTTTGTAATGAACTTCATGGAATTAGAACTAAAGCTATAAACTTCATGGGAGCAGAAAACCAGGTCTTTGTACTATGGAGTGGAACCACCACACTAACCGGGCTTTTCTCAGACGCTGTCACGTTGGTTCTGGCTCATGGAAGCCAACACATGTTAAGTCCAGCACCATTCTCCCCATCTTTTTTCAGTAGTTAAAAACTAAGCTTACATGTTAATATGTAAAGATAACACCCCTAAGTAAGTCTTCAAATAACCCCCCTACTTGACAACATATATTGCTCTCAATGTTTTTCCCATGATGGCCTTAGGACTTTAATATAATCACTGGTCCAGCAATGTCTGACACAGTCATGTGTTGGATGGTGGTATTAAACATTGAATTATCCAGTTCACACTGGAGGGTACGCAGTGCCTATGGTTAACTCACATGACTGTTTAAGGTTAGAGGTTTATAGCCCACCCAGAGGCAGCTCTGAAGATAGACCTGGTTACGTACTTTGCAGTTTTAATCAATATCCAGAAATGTAAATTCTTCATCTGAGCGTCTCCTCCACTTGTCCGTGCCCTGAAGGTACCAGAGGGAGCAACGCCTTCTCGACACCTGGATGGACTTGTGTGCGGCCTTCACTTCAAACAAGAACCTGACGTCTCTGGAAGTCAACCAAAGCTACCTGAAGGACTACGCAGTGGTGATTCTGGCCGAATGCTTAGCCTCCAAGACAAACGGTCTCCAGAAGGTGGCGTAAGTAAAAGCCAGAACTCGTTGGATCTAAGTTGTGTTTTCATATCAAATCAATAAAAAAATAATTGAATCCCTGTCCCAGGAGTGTGATGCCGGAGGGTTAGCTTAAGATTACAAGGTCAACGATTCAAACTCAGCCGTTCCTCAAACCCTATGCAAGGTCAATATGGAACTAACTCGGTGGCACTTAACCAGAATCTAACCAGGTGTCCTAAATACAAGGCATTGAAGGGGGGGGTTCCCGTCATTACAGTAACTTCAGTGAAGATATGAACTAAGGTTTAGACAAAGAAAATACACCGTAAGTGTGAGGCAGGGGATGTAGGAAGGACATCAAGATCCTTGGGTCAGTTCTAATTTAATTATGACACTCGGAGGTAAACCAGAGTTTAGCGTCTATTGAAATTTGGGGCTGGATATTTTCTTGAAGGAGCTCTGATAGTGTAGTGGTTACAAATTGGGCTGCTAACCTCTCAGGGTCAGCAGTTCGAAACTACCAGCTGTTCCACGGGAGAAAGATGAGGCTTTCTGTTCCTGTAAAGATTTACAGTAAAGATTTACAGCCTCGGAAACCCTGTTACGGGGACGCTATGAGTCGGAACCAACTCCATCGCACATACCAAGAGTTTTCTTGGTGAGACATAGTGAACGTCTTGTGTGCATGGTAGCATCTTTAGAAAGAAGCAGCCTTAACTCCTAACTCCTACTTAATAGATAACAGAGCACCCCTCCTCCCCACAAGATGGTGATGACCAAGAGTCCCTGGGGTGGGGGGGGTGCGAGTGCTCAGTCACCTGGTTGAGGCCTCTGCATGTAGAGATGGTCAATGCTCAAAGCTCATCTAGCATTTGATGTCTGCTACTCTGGTAGCGTAGTGGTTAACAAATCGGGTTGTGAACCACAAGGTCAGAAGTTCAAAACTACCAGCTGCTCCGTGGGAGAAAGATGAGGCTTTCTGCTCCCGTAAAGATTTACAGCCTCGGAAACCCTGTACCGGGTCACTATGGGTCGGAACCAACTCCACGGCACTTAACAGCAGCAGCATGGGACTTGAGTTCCCGGCATTGGTGATTTCAGTGGTAGGAACAATCACCATCTCTTCACAGAAAGACTCCCAGCCGATTCCCCTGTCATGGCACAGCTACTGGGTATCCCTTTCTCATAGTTTGAGGTGACTTAATGAAATGACCTCAAATTTCTAAGGCTTAACAACTGTGCCTTTGTTTCTAGCTACACACCAGCATCGTTCCAGAAACTCAAGGTTTCGTCTTTCTTGTCTAGGCTGAACAACGTTTCACCTGCTGATGCTTACGAGGAACTCTGCGCTGTTTTCTGTAACCAGAAGACTCTAACCCATCTGACCCTTCAAAGCAATGGCTTGAATATGCTGCCCTTGTTATGTTCGCAGATCTTGACCTACCCAGAAAGTAACCTGCAATACCTCAGGTGTGTCTTAACCATCGCTAAGAGCTCCGCATCCAAACAAAGCTGCCAATCAGGTCTCAATTGAATTTGACAAGAGTCTGTTGAATGTGGTTGGACTTAGCTCACAACTGCATTGTTCCTTTCCCCCCCCACTGCCCTTATCTGTAGACCAGCAAGAACACATGTCTATTCGGCTTGAGTCTTAGTCTTGGAAAGGGGCTTACCCTGAAGGGGGCCGACCGCTTGCCTTGATGACTCCCCATTGCCTTGTTCTTGTTTTCCCATACAGGTTGGGGGTTGGTTCTGTTACCATTCCACGGTGGGGTGAGTTCTCACTTGCCCTGAAAACCAACCAGTCGTTAACCTGCCTGAACCTCACGGACAATGAGCTCTCAGATGATGGTGCAAAGCTGCTGTGTAAATCGCTGAAGGAATCAAACTGTTCCCTGCAGAGGTTGTCGTAAGTCGTTCTCGTAGTCTGTGAAGCCGCATCTTCGTTTGAGGTCTGGGCCATGAAATAATACCAGTCACTGAACAGAGCCGATTCCATGGCACTTAATAGAAACCCTTGGTCCCAAGCCCATGGCCCTCCTCCCTGTCCCTTCCTGTTAGTGACCCACCACCACAGGAAAGAGGGAAGAATGCTGTAACTGAGGACTCTGCAGCATCTGGGAGCAGCGAGGGTTGGACTCGGAAAGAGTTCCTACCATCATAACGCTTCTGTAATAACTCTGCAGGTTGGAAAACTGTCGTCTTACAGAAGGCTGTTGCGAGGATCTCTCCATTTTGGTCAGAAAAAAGAAGCTGACACATCTGTGCTTGGCCAAGAATGAGCTTGGGAATGGTGGGGTGCAGCTTCTGTGTAAGGGCTTGAGTGACCCCAACTGTAAACTGCAGACCCTGGTGTAAGTCTCCACTGGCTGCCTTAACCTTAGGGGTGGGGCTCTCTGTGTGTGTCGGTGTCTCTTAAAAGAAACACTGTAATGGCATTGCTCTTAGATACTGTTGGGTCTGTTCAGGGCCACCCTATGCCCACCCGACTTGAGGAAACCCCTCTCCAATTCTGTCTACCTTCACAATATCAAGTTTGAGCCTGGTACCTTTTCCATGTAAGGTACCATAATCTGACTACAGGAACTGGTCCAGTCCTAGGACACTGGACTCAGCCTAGTAGACTTATGGGTGACATAATCTGGTTTCACAAAATGCTCCTAACTCTGGTCACTTAGTTCAGACCAACCCAGTGGAACCAGAGAAGAAAAGCTTCTGGAAACAGAGCACACCCAAGGAGCCTTGTGGGCTTAACATGTATGATCCCCATGAGTTGCAATTGACTTTGAGAGCAAGAGGTTTGGAATTTATCTGGATCTGTCTACCCTGCTACACTGTCTTCATCGCCGAGTTTCTACACATGATTAAAATTGACTGGAAGATCATGGTGTTAGAGCTCTAGGCCAACAGATGTGTCCGTGTGTGATTAGTTTTGTTGTTTTTTTTTAAACTTCCAGGCTGTGTTGCTGTGAAATAACAGACAATGGCTGCAATCATCTCGCAAAGTTTCTCCTAAAAAAGTCGAGCCTGACGCAATTGGATTTGGGGCAGAATCGCTTAGGAGTTACGGGCCTGATTTCTCTGTGTGAGACCTTGAAGGATCCAGTGTGCAACCTGAAATGTCTCTGGTAAAATATATTTGTCTCTATCTGAAATGAGAAATTTGCAGGTTTGCCTAATGCAAATGACTGTAAAATGGATCCAAGCAAAATGGAGTCGTTGACACGTCCCATCTCTTATCTGGGACGTTATTTTGGGTCTAATGGCAAAGTGTACAACCCATGCCAAAGGCTGTGTGGCCTTTGATCTTCATCAGTACTATTTTTAAGTCCTCTTCACTTAACAGGAAGCATGCTTGTTATCTGCAGATCAGATGACTGAGTCTTCTAATGCTGACGGCACATTCTTCACATAACTTGGATTCTTTGCTCAGCATACAGATAGTGAATGAGTATGTTGTTAAGTGCCGTCGAATGAGTATGGTGAAGAAAATTCTGGTATACAACTTTATAACCATGGCTCCACCTTGTTCTATTCAAGCACAGTTACTTGATAGTTTGTGTTTATCCATAGCTTGTCAAGGCTTTCCATAGTCAATAAAGCACAGGTAAGATATTGTATTCTCAGCTCTCAGCCAAGACCCACCTGACCTTAGCAGTGATACCCCTCACTCCATGTCCTCATCTAAAGTCAGCTTTATCCTCTGGCGATTCATTGTCAGTGTACTATTGAATTATCTTCAGCGGAATTTTCTTGCATGCGTGATAGTAATGATACTGTCTACATTCTGTTGGGTCCACTTTTCTTAGGGATAGGCACAAATAACCGATCCCTTCCAATCAATTCTCCAAGTTTCTTGGCATCCTCCAGTGCTGAGCATCAGTTTGCAGAAACATTTCCATATGTATCCCATCCATTCCCAAAGCCGTCATGGTCTTTACCAATGTCTTCAGTTCACCTTGCACGTCTTCCTTCGAGGCTTTGATCATACGCTACCTCGTGAAATGGTTGAACATGGACCTTTTCCTTTGGGTACACTGAGTGAGTATTCCTTCCATCTTTTAATGAATTCTACGTCATTCAATATTTGCCCATGGAATGCTTTAATATTGCAAGTTTGAGGCTTGAGAAGTGCTGAGCGGATGTCTACCTTGTGGTTTTCTTACTCTCCAGGTATTTGCACATTTCATTCTAATACTTTGTCTTAAGTTGCCCTTTGGAATTTTTCTGTTCAATTCTTACTTTGCTTAAGTATCTGTACATGAGAAAACAAGTGTCCGTCTCTTCTAACAAATATTTTTGGTCTTTTAAGTGACCTTTTGCTTTTTTCGATCTTGATGTCATCCAACAACTCTTCTGGTCTTCTTCAATGCCTAATGCATAAGTCTCTTCTTGAGATGACTTTCTAAATTCAAGTAGGATATATTCAAAGTTATATTGATCTCAGTTGGATCTGTTGTTAATTTTCTTCAGCTTCAGCCTGAGTCTGCATAGGAGCAATTGATAGGTCTGCCCTTGCCTTGTTCTGGCTTTTCTACCATCTCTTTCCACAGATGTAATCTATTTGATTTCTCTGTATTCAGTCTGGTGAAGTCCATGAATTAATAGTCCTTTATTATATTCTAGCATGTGATCGCCAGCATCATTTCAATCACCAAGACCATATTTTCCAACCACTGGTCATACCTCTTGTTTTCCAATCTTTGCATTCGGTTCCAGACTGAAAAAAAATTATATATTGAATTCTTCGTTTTATAGTTACTGGTTTAGTGGTTAACTGGTCTTCCTTATAGGCCTTAAGGATAGTCCATCACAGATAAAATTCTTTTGATGAATGTGATGCTATTCTTTCATATAATTTTTTCACTTCCACCATACTAAACCATGTGTGATACAGTATTAGTTAGCCATTTTTTATCTGTCAATTTCAGCTAATGCCTAAGATAACCTGTTTGTGTTCTACTTCATTTTTGTCAACTTCTAATTTTCCTAGACTCATAGATCCCATGTTAAAATTACTGGTATTTATACCTGTTTCCCATTTTGAATTGTGCCCCATTCACAAGAAGGCCCTGAAATCTGCACCATTCTTGTCATTCCTCAACTCATTGAGGAGACAGTCTTCCTTCCTCAGTTGTGTTTTAAGTACCTTTCAAGCTGAGGAACTCATTTTCAGCACTGACCATATTCTGGTGCTGTTTATGTGCACATTTTTTTCAGAATATCTAACAGTGATCTTCCACTAGTGTTTTCAGAGGCTAAACATTAAGCCGTTTCCCCCCGCCTTTTATTTATTTTAATGTTTTTTTTAATTGTGGATTGAGTGAAAGTTTACAGGGCACATCATCAGTTTCACATTCAACCCCATTCATATAGCTTGTTTCATTACATTGATTATAATCCCCTCCATATACTATCAGCTCAAAGTATTTTTCTCTATTTACTTTAGCTTTTTAAAAAAACACACAAAAAAACACACTCAGGCATATATAATTTACATCTGCAAAAGGCACATTGTACAAGTCTGCTCCTGGCCACCAGCTCTTAATCCTTCTCTTCTTAGTCCATGAATCTAGAGTCCTCAGTCGCTCCCCCTCTCCTTGCCCCCATCTCTGGCGCTGCTGCTTCTCTGGATAAGGTCCTGCACTCTGCTTGTGCGCTTCTCTCTTGGTGGTCCTAGGGTCCTCTGTTTCTGGGCAGTAAGATTAACCACTCCCCTTTTTTTGTTACAAAACTTCTACCTTTATAATTGTGACAGTCATGATAACGGTTATTCACTACTGAATCTTACGAATCTTATCCCCATCTCCTTTCACCAGACTCAATCTAGACAAGATGACAGCTATTCAGTGGGGACTTTCTTTCCCCCCACACTCTTAACTAAGCTCCCTCTTGAAACCTTGTAAGCCAGTCACTTCGTGCCTTTATTGTCCCCTCATTTTAGATAGCCAATGTCTAAGTTCCCGTCCCCTCTGTGCACAGAGGGAATAGCATTAATATTTGATTTGAAGACTCTTTCCTTCTTTGTTGGTATTTAGAGTAACTACTTCTCTGAGTATAATGTATCTTCTGTCACTGTAGCTGTTCCAGTCTGCTTGTCCTTTCTAGTGGGAATGTCTCACCTCTCAAGGTTGTGGATGAGACTCAGGATTCCACCTAAGGTCCAGGATTCCACCTAAGGTCCTATACTCTGTAAAGGCTTTGCATGAGGCCTATTTCCCTGGGCAAGTTGTAGAACC